AGAGGACATGGAGGAGGAGGAGGAGGAGGAGGAGCATCCAGGATTCAAGAAGTCCCTCGCACGGGCAAGTTGGGCCGAACCCTTTCGAAGAAGCTCCGAGCCACTTAAAATGCTCGACTCTGTGCTCTGCCCTCTCTTTGCGCGCCGAAGAAAAATTGAGAACCCGCTGGACCCCCCAGAGCCTTCTGAGACTTCCCCAAGCCGCCCAAGCCTTCTCACGCGTTTCAGATAACTCACTTGAGCCTCTTATTTTCCTCCTCCTCCTCCTCCTCCTCGTCCTATGCCGTATCTTCGAGGAGGAGGGGGGGGGCAAAGGAGAGAAGAGCCGAAACCCGTCGGTGGTAAACCAGCCAGGACCTTCCAGAGCTTCTTGAAACTTCCTAACAATCAAAACTCCCCCTTATAACGTCCGAGAATTTTTCGATTTTCTTAGAACCCCTGGGCCACATCATAAACAAAACGCCAGTTCTTAAAAACGAGCTTTCCAGCCCAGACCCGCCCACTGTCAGCTAAACCGTTTTTTCATCGTCGTCGTCGTCGTCGTCGCCAGGAGCCCCTGAAGACGCAAAAGCTATCATATTATTTTTGAAGCATCTTTTCTCCTCGCCGTCGCCGTCGATCTAGTCGCCATAACTCGTCGTCGCCGTCGGCCTCGTCGTCGACCTCGATGTCGCCGTCGTCGTCGCCGTCGGTTTTGGCGTCCCCGCTGCCGCCGTGTTGTTGCCGCGCGCGCGACCCCTGCCGCGGGCGAGGCGGCGACGCAGGCGCGGAGGGAGCCGCGGAGCTCCGGAGCTCCGCGCCCTCCGCGCCCTCCGCGCCGGTGTCGGCGGACCTGCGCGGGCCAGCGCCCGTGGCGCGGCGGAGCTGCGCGGCGGAGGCCGCCCGCCCGCGGGCACCGCGCCGGCGCCGTCTCCCCGCGACTGTCGGCCGGCCGGCCGGCGAGATCGGTTGGCGAGGCCGGCCAGGCGGTCTGGGCCGGTCGGCGCCGCGGGCGCCGCAGCCGCCGGCGCGAGCCGCTGCCGCCGCGTCCGCCGCGGATGCGTATCGGGAGGGGCCTGGTCGTTGTCGCCGCCACCGCCGCCGCCGCCGTGGTGGTGGTGGTCGTCGTGTCATCGTCGTCGTCGTCGTCGTCGTCGTCGTCGTCGTCGTCGTTTCGCGCCGGTGGCGGCGAGGCGTTGGCAGGGCGCCGCGGGGAGCCCGCCCCCAGACCTCGGGCCGACGCGGCGGAGGAAGTACGCCGGCGGTTGCCCCTGGGGGTTCTGGTCGAGAGCTCCGGGGGCCGGCGTCGCGACAAAAGATTACGGCGTCGGAGGTCTGGCCTGGGCCGTATGCCTCGTCGCTGTTGGGGGCCTTCGGGCCCCGCCCGCGTCAGCACGGCTAGTCTCAGGAGGGGAACAAAAACACACGGACACAATTAATCGTCGATTCCCAGGAAAGTATGGGAAAATATGGGAAGTGTGGGGGGAAGACAAAAAACCCAGAAGATATAGGAAACTATGGGGAATCCTTTTATTTGTGTGCACTTATTTGTGTGTGTCCTGGGACCCCTTCATAGTCGGGGCTCGGAATACGGGTGAGGACGGTGCCGGTGAGGGGTTAGGGGCTTGGTTTCGAGCGGATCTCTGGCTGGGCGGAGAGGTGACCCTGAACATGTTTCACCCATGTTTCCGCCCCGTCGATTTCTCTGTAGGTCGATACGGAGGAGGAGGAGGAGGAGGAGGAGGAGGAGGAGGAGGAGGAGGAGGAGGAGGAGGAGGAGGAGGAGGAGGAGGAGGAGGAGGAGGAGGAGGAGGGAGGAGGATCCGGCGGATCACTCATCTCTGGCTGGGCCGATTTTCTCATTCCGTTTCATCCGCGTTTCCGCCCCGTGCCCGCTCGTGGGTGCCTCGTGGGCACCGCCCAGGTTGCACCGCACAGCTTACGCAGCACACAGCTCGCACACCACGTAGCGCACACAGTATAGCTCACACCGCATAGCTTATACCACATAGCTGGCACAACATAGCTGACACCACAAAGCTTGCACATCATCTAGCTTACAGCATCTGTAGCTTGCACCGCGTAGCTCATACCACACAGCTCAGACCACATAGCTCACGACACACAGCTTGCACACCATAGCTTGCACCACACAGCTTGCGCAGCACAGCTCACACGACATAGCTCACGCAACATAGCTTACACCACGTAGCTTGCTCATCTTAGCTTACGCCACCTGGCTCACACCGCATACCTTACACCGCATAGCTCCCACCTCCACAGGGAACCACTCACCGATAGGACTTCACGCTGGCTTACATACTTGTTACTATGTGAGGCACGGGCGATGCGTCAAGGAACCGTGGCAGCTTGTGACGTGCAGGCAGCCACGGCAGCGTCAGCGTGTACTGGGCATCTGCGCGGCGCGAGCAGCTTCTCCCCGAACAGCGCTTTCACTGAATGGGGTCCTGTACTCCTGCCTTTTCAAGAGCTGCCCGTGGTGGCTGCCAAATTTTTAGACTCCTCGCCGAATTCCCGACTGTCCTTGGCCCCGTGTGCTGTGCGCTAGCGGTTTCCGATGTCCTTCGTTCGACTCTGCCTCTGGCTGTCCTTGGCCCTTGTGCTGCATCCTCGTGGTCGCCGTTGCATAGTCCTGGCAGTGGGACGTTCCCGCACAGCTCGTCACATCAATTGCGTAGCATCATTACGATAACGACTGCCTCCTGTCTGCCTGCTCAGGATGCACACGCCGCTTTCATCGAGTAGTCAACACCGCGTCGTACCCAGGCGCCCCCGATCCTGATTGCCTTCTGCTTGCTCGTGTCTGTGTGGCTGACTCCAGAAACCCTGATTCTGACTATGTTGGCGTCTCCGCCGCCGCTTTAGTTTAGAGTCGGGGCCCTGAAGAAGGAACCCTTTTGGTTGGGGAGGGGCTCCGCGTTCCTAAAGTGTTTCACAGCTTGCCTCAGGTTTTCCTTATGTTTTCGATGGGAAATTGAAGTTTAACTTATGGAGACAAGGGGCCTCGTTCCTTATATTTAGGGTTCCTTAGGTCAACGCCCCGACTGTAGTCGGCCTTTCGCCGCATCCGCCGAAGGCAAGATGGGAAGAAGATGAGGCCCTTTCTGGAGCCCGCCATGTGGCCCCATCCCCTTGTCGCTTCCATGCACGTGCCTGCATCTCAAGTGTGCTCTTGGGATGCTCGCCGCGCGTCGCGGTCGCCGTCGTCGATGACGACGACCTCGACGATTACAACGACGCGCGTTTTTGCTCTTCGTGTTTGTGGCGGGCACTGTCTGGTGCGCCTTCTCTGTCTTGTGCCGCCGCCGTTGTCGCCTCCGTGTCCTCGCCGCGGCCGCCGCCGCCGCTCGCCGCCGCCGCCGCCGCCGCCGTCGCCGCCGCCGCCGCCGCCGCCGCCGCCGCCGCCGCCGCCGTCGTCGTCGTCGTCGTCGTCGTCGTCGTCGTCGTCGTCGTCGTCGTCGTCGTCGTCGTCGTCGTCGTCGTCGTCGGGCGGGTCGCTGTCCGCACCGTGCAGGCCGCCGCGGTGCCCGCGTCGCTGTCAGCGGCTGAGCCGGCGCCCGCGGCCCGGCCCAAGTGCGGCACGGTGGCCTCAAAGTTCAGCTCTTTCCTGGCGCAGCAGCCAGCAGGAGTCCAGCTCCTTGGGCGTCGTCGTCGTCGCCCTCCCCCCCTCGTCCTCCCCCTCCCCGCAGCTAGGGAGGAGGCACCAGGTTAAACGATCACGTTAAAACGTTCTACCCCTCGCGGGCAAGTCCAACGAACAAAAAACTCCTCCGCCCCAGTGTGGTCTGCGCACGAGCTGCTCGAGGGCAGAGGACATGCCCATTTCCCTGCGGAGGGGTCGGGGGCCGGAGGGATGGACGGCCAGGTATCGAGGCGGTCTGTCGCGGGTGGCCGCTGGGCCTGCCCGGCCAGCGGCGCCCACGGTCGTCGCGGCGGGGAGCAGCACGGTGGCCAGTGCAGGAGGAGGGGATGAGGAGGAGGAGGAGGAGGAGGAGGAGAAGGAGGAGGAGGAGGAGGAGGAGGAGGAGGAGGAGGAGGAGGAGGAGGAGGCGGAGGAGGAGGAGGAGGGCGGAGGAGGAGGAGGAGGAGGGCGGAGGGGGGCCGGAGGCGGGAGGGGGGGGGGCAGGCCCTCCCCTCTCCCACCCGCCCCCGTCCCGATTCCCCGTGGCCTTTGGCCCCTCCCTCGCCCCATCCTCGTTTCCGCCTTTTCCCTTGCGCCCCCTCCTCCAGCTTCTCCCGTCCCTTTCTCCGCTTTGCCCCTTCCCCTTTCCCCTTCGTCCCCTTCTTTCCCCGCTTCCTTCCTCCCCGTTCTCCCGCTCATGCCCTCCTCCACTCCTCCGCCCTCACCGTTTACTCCTCATGCCTTCCCCAATTGCCCATTCCCCTTCAATTGCTCCTGACCCTGCCCCCCTCCTCCTGTCTCCCCTCGCCCATCCCCCTTTACTCCCAGTTACTCCTTCCTCGGTCATTTTTCCGCCCTCCTTCCCGTCCACATTTACCCCCGCTCCGGTCCCCTCTTTCCCACTTCCCCCTTTCTCCCCATTCCCTGCTCCCTTCTCCCTGCTCTCTCCTGCCTTACGCTCTTCCCCCTTTTTCTCCTGCCCCTCCTCTCTCCTTCTCTTCCTGCTCACTCCTCCTTCCGCTCCGCAGGCGGCGAGGAGCAAGACGAGGAGGAGGAGGGATTGACCAGGATTGACCCATCGGGACCCTGTCCTGTCCACTCGAGCCCATGGCGGTGCTGGAGGAACACGAGCCTGCGCACCACCAGGGCGGCGCTGCTCGAGTCGCAGGAGGAGCACGAGCCTCTGCGCCGCCGAGCAGCAGGCGGGATGCACGAGGAGCACGAGCCTCCGCATCCCGAGCGAATTCGCCTGGCGCCACGGCCGCAGAAGGAACGCGTGCCTCCGCGACGCCGAGCAGCAAGCAGGCTGGGCGCAGGAGTAGAGCGAGCCTCGCACCCCGAGCTCGAATCCACGCAGCCGCAGCACCCCTCGCGCTGGCTACACGAACTCGCGCACCGACGAGATGCCGAAGCCGCCGATGCTGGGGGATAGCGGGCCCCCACCGCCTGGTCCAGCCGAGAACTGAACCGCAGACCACTTCTGCAGCCGCTCCAGGAGGTTCCTGAGTTAGCACTCCTTCCTGACCACCTCGAGGAGCACGTGCTCGGGCTGCCGAGTGTCCTGGAACACAACTGGTTGAACTGGGCGCGAGCCGCCACCAGCTGCTGCGCTACCGAGGCAATCTCCTCGGCCCTGTCGTCGACCATGCAGTCGGGAACCACCGCCAGCTGCAGCGAGGCGATCTCCTCGGCCATGTCCTTGCTCCACTGCGTGGCCTTGCCATACTGGGCCTGCGCGTCGGCCTCCTTGGGGTCCCTCCCGCACCCAGGTCTCCGCGGAGACGCCGATGACCTCGACCTTGCCTTCGACCTGCTTCTGCTCCGCGCCCTCGGCGCCCAGCTGCAGGATGCCCTGTGGGTTGGCCACGGAGGTGTTGCTCGACTCGCTGGAGTGCCCCTCCTCGCACTCGCAGCTCTCCGCCGTCAGCCTCCGGGCGGCCTCCTCCTCGGACGTGCGGCCGCTGCGCTGCCCCCCCTCCGGGCCTCCTTGCCATTCTGCGGGAGGCCCTCCGCGCCGCGGCCCATGCCCGCGTGCAGGCCCGTGCTGCGCACGGCCTCTATCTCACCATTGAGGGCTGGGCCTCCGCAAGGGCCTGCCTTGACCAGCTCAGGGAGGGCTTGCTCCACCATGGCCAGCCTGGCCTTGACCTCCCCGTGGACGGCCTCGGGAGAGACGTCGAAGGAGGTACGAACTGCGGCCGCCACCATCGCCGCAGCGACCTGGCGGGGGGCACCGTCCACGGCTGCGCCAAGCGCTGCCGCCAAGACGTGTGCCGCACCCGGACGGGCGCACGCCAACTTTGCCACGGAATGGCAAACATCGACCGTCGCCATGCCCAAATGCGACTGCACTGTATGAAGGAGGGCACGGTACTGGGCAGAATGCACAGAGCCAGCTTGAGCCAAAATGGCTACGTAGGAGGAGGAGGGATGAGGGATGGGTGGAAGGAGAGAGAGAGAGAGAGAGAGGGAGAGAGGGAGCGAGAGGAAGGATACATACGTATAAATGTGTGTATATATATATACATGTAACACCTCGCAGTTGCGGATAAGAGTGAGGGGGCGGGCGCGGGGTGGGTCGCGGGTGGACTTGTGGGAAAACACGCGTGTTGATCTGGCCACGGCATTGGAGGCCTGGGGTCCCCTTCCCGGGGGTTCGACAATAGGGGGTGGGGTACACTCCAAGGCCGGGTAAGGGGATGACTCGATCTGGAAGTCGATGCTTCCTACGCCCAAATGCTGTCGATCACGATTTCCCGTGAGCTCGCCCTCCCGCCCTGACCCCTTCTTTATCAACTCCCGCGCCTCCCCCTCTCCCGTCCCCCTGCCAGGCACCCAGCCGTCCTGTCCGCTGCGCCGCCCCCCTCCCTTCGAGAGGCATGACCGGAGCGGCGCAGGGCAAGGCCTCGGTGGTCATGGGCGGCTCCGCGGAAAGGCGGGCGCGGCGCGGCGGGCGGATCGGGATGGATGGAGGGCCATGGGGAGGGGGGGAGTGGGAGGAGGAGGCGGAGGAGGAGGAGGAGGAGGATGAAGAGGAGGAGGAGGAGGAGGAGCAGGAGGAGGAGGATGAGGAGGATGAGGATGAGGGGGAGGGGGGGAGGGGGGGGGGTCGGGAGGAGGATGAGGAGGGCGATCAGCGCGTGCGAGAAGGGCGAACAGTCTCAGCGAATGCTGGCGCTGCTGATTGAGATGTGGGAGGCGAAGCTAGAGCCCGACGTTATCTGCTACAGCGCTGGGACCAGCGCGTGCTGCGAGAAGAGCCAGCAGTGGCAGCGGACGCTGGCGCTGCTGAGCGAGACGTGGAAGGCGAAGCTGGCACCCGACGTCAGAACATCTCCATCTGCCCCTGGGGGCTCAGCGCCGCGTGCTGCGGCTCGAAGATCTGCAACGAGTTCGAGGGCCTGTTGGGCATCTGCTGACGGTTCCGCGCGGCCTCCCGCGCGCGCGCCCTTCTCGCGCGGGGGCATCGTCTCCGAGCGCACGCCGCCCCAGCAGCGGCGGCCAGGGCGCCGCGCCGCAGCCGTGGAAGCCCGGCGGCCCTTGAGACCCGTGCCCGGGAGGCACGCGGCGGGGCGCGCAAGGGCTGAAAGGGCCTTTTCTCCAACCCCCTCCTTCCTCCTCGCCTCCCCCCTCTGCCCCTAGGCCTTCTCGATTGAATGAAAGGTCTCGGTTCTCGATCTCCTCCCTCTTGCGCTGCCCATTCGCATCGATCTTCCCCTCTCTGCCCCTTCCTGCGTCGTCTCCGTCTGCGCCTCGCCCTTGGCCGCATGATCTCCGTCTCCGCTTGATTTCCCCCTCCCCTCCTTCGTCTCAGCTCGGTTCTCGATCTCCTCCCTCCTGCGCTTCTCGTCGTCATCGGGTTCAAAAAGTGGTTAAAGATGACAGCAACGGGCAGGAACAACTGTGGAGTGGGTGCAGCGTGCTGGCCCACCCTTGGTTTGCATTCCGACCCTTTGCTGGGTCACTTTCCGCTCCCCCTGTCTTCCCTTTCCCCATCCACCGAAGAGGCGCGTGCAGCCGCTGGGCCCGCGGTCCGCCTCGCTGGGCTGGGGTCCGGGGGAAAAGATCTCCCGTGAGCGTCCAGTCCGATGCCGGGGCAAAATCGCACCCTTGTGGGCCACCCCATCGGCCCGGGCTGAGTCGCTGGCACCGCCGCGGAGCCTATAAAAGATTTGCGTTGCGTTCGCCTGCCTGCCGGCGAACGCCTGGCAGCTCGACGTGCTGGCACCGCGTCAGCGGAAAAGGAGGAAGAGGAGGAGGAGGAGGAGCAGGAGGAGGAGGACCAGTTTAAACCCAAGACGCATCAACGATGTTGCAATAACCCGTCCCTCCAAGTTCCCCCATCATAGGTCCCCATGATATTGTCCATGGTGAGAAGTGCCCCATTGAAGGACAACTGTTTGATAATCCCAAATCGTGCCAAATCACCGTTCCTGGTACTTCAACGCCGCGAAACAACATGACTGTTGCGTCCTGACTGGCCTGAACCGTGCCAGGACGGAACTTCAGTCATGCGAATCCATTGAGCTGGTGTAGACTTTGGAGGCGAATGTGCGCGGTGCTCGGACGAGATCCGCATTTTGAAACGCAGCTGGCCGCATCCTTGAAGTTTGCGAAGCTTGAAGCAGAATCTGCGTGGCTGTAAGGCGAGGGCCGCAGTGTGAGAACGGGGCCCTTCCTCCATCCTTGAAACCGCTGCACACTTCTAAGACGAATAGGCGCGGTGCTAAGCCGAGAGCAACATGTTGGAAGCCATCCGCCCTGCATGTTTGGAGCCGTCGCAAACTTTAAGACGAAAGTGCGCGGCGCTACGGCGAGAACCGCATTTTGAAACCCACCCGCACTCCATCCTTGACGCCGTTGCCAATATTTCCAGTTTGAGAAGTCTGGCGCGAAGCGTTCGTTCCGCCCTGCTGACGCGATTGGAGGTGCGACAGGGGCGAGCCATCTAGACAGACGGGAGGAGGAGTAACGGGACGAGGAGGAAGACGGAGAGGAAAACGAGGAGGAGGAGGAGGAGGAGGAAATTCTTCTTTCCCTCTCTCTCTCTCTCCCTCTCTCCCTCTCTCTCCCTCTCTTTCTCTCTCAATGCCCCCTCGTTTCGCTCTCTATTTCCCTTGCTTGTTCTTGCGCCCTCTCTCTCTCTCTCTCTTTCTCTTTTGCAGTCTCTCCCCGCTTCATTCAAGGTAATCCATTCCTTTGAATTATAGCTCATCAGCAGGCGCCATGGGTTTTGAGAGAGTGCAGCCGCCTCCATCCCGTTTCCGCTGCTTGGCAGGATCCATCTCGCCTTTCTGGCTGCTGCTGCTGCTGCTGCTGCTGCTGCTCGTCCCCTCCTCGTCCTGCTGCCGCCTCCTTCCGCCTACGCCGCTGTTTTCGTCGTCGTCGTCGTGTTCCTCCTCCTCCGCCCTCCTCCTACGCCTTTTCGTCTCGAGTGGTACCCTGGCCTGCAAGACCACATCGGTTCCAGGGGGACTGAGATGCTTGACTTCAACAGCAGTACGCCTCCCTTCGACGGTTTTGATGCCATGGCCAGTGCTGACCTCTTGGACCTCATGGCTTCGGTTTCTGGTGTTTTTGTTGACCCTTGTTTGCACCATGGAAGACGCTTAGCGAGCGGCAAATGATTGGCAACAGGATGGGCATGTTCGTGCTCCTGGCTCTGGGCCTTCTGTTCCAGATGCATCACTGCTCTCCCCGCCGTTCCCGAATGCATCGGGCTATGAGCCCGTGGAGCCACTGTCGTTCGACCATTTCAACATGTGCATGCGTATGGTTACGGCTGATGGTGATGATGCCGAATCCCTTCTGGACGCTATGGGTATGCACTCCGAAGTTCTCTACAGCAGCTCGCAGCATACGACTACCTCGTGCTGATGGTCGCGCAAGAGGAAGAAGAGGTGAACGACGCCTTCGCGCAGGTCATGGCGTCTGCCGATCCTCCTGGTGTTGAAGATCATGCGGTTACGGGCCCCCGACTTGAAGAGGGCCATCTGCAGCCTGCGGATCACGATGGTCGCCCGTCCCCGCTGGTGCTCAACGCGAGCAACGACGACGCCATGGCCTTCACCGACTGTTCCGCCGTCGCCGTCACCGATGCCCGGGCGACGGATTTCTCGACGGCAATACCTTCGGGAAGCAGGTCGGGGGGTCCGACTCGCCCCTAAGGCCAGGCTCTGCGAGGGCCGCAGGGGGCGCGCATCGTGCTGCCTAGGTTAAGAGGGGAAAAAACACACAGACACAATTAATCGTCGATTTCCCAGAAAATATGGGAAACTATGGGAAGTGGGGGGGAAACAGAAACCCAGAAAATATGAGAAAATATGGGGAATCTTTTTATTTGTGCGTATTTCTTTGTGTGTCCCTGGGCCCCTTCACTAGGCGGGCTGGCTGGAAACCTTCCTCCGAGGCGCGGGCAACTCCTCCCTCCTCCTTCCTCCCTGGCGCCTAGAACCCTTTTTTTTCCGTAACCATTTTGGCTCAGGCCGCTCATCAGCGAGCGAAGCCCTTGTTGCTCAAGCCTGTTGCTCATGGCGCGCCGGAGTTGAAGCTGCTGGAGGTTGTCTGCCGCTGCTTGGGGGATGGTTCTTACTGGGCGGCACGAAGTGCGCGCCGAGGCGCCCAGCGGCGCAGTGTAAGGCTGGTGGTGATTGGGCGCGCGGGTCGGCGGACAACGCCATCGCGAGGTCGTAGGAATTCCCGCGGGTCCGCGGTAACATGGAGGCAGCCGGGGTGGCCTTGAGCCGCTTGGTCGGCAGCGACGAAATCGCCCAGCGACTGCAGGCTATGCTCCCTGCCCTGCAGGCGAAACTAGCAAGGAGAGAACCCTCATGGCTCATTGCCCTCCGCTACTGCACGCTGACGCGAAGCATCAACGTGGCGACGGCGAGGCCAGCCGAGCGGCGCCGCGCCCAACATGGGCGGCGGTTTGAGGCTTGGGCTGCACGAGCGTCCGCTTTGGCGGGGGGGGGTCGACAGGAGGCTGCGCGTGGAGGCGCCCGTCTTCGTCCCGTCGGCCGTCGCCGTGGAGGTCCCTTTTTTGTGAGCACGCGGCCGCGATGGAGGCCCCGGCGGACCTTCAGGCGGCGGTTGCCTGGCGGCCAGCCGGGGAGCCCTTCCCCCCTGCGGCTGACATCTCTGAGGGAGGGGGCGAGCGTGTGCAGATGGTCTCGCAGGCTATGCTGGGCTTCGTCGCAAAGGATCTCGTC